CACACGGGGATGTGGGCAGCTCGCGCTCAACCGCAATCAACGTGGCGAGCCTTGTGCATGAGAGGCACGGTAAGGAGGGAGCTGCAAGAACAAATGAAAGGGGTACCCTAAAGAACGCAAACGTGCGCACAATTAAGAAAGGGGTTTACATGCCTCTATTGTACTTCATGTTGCTTGCTATAGAGGTGAAGTTGTTCATAAGCACACCTTCCGGCGTGGCATGCTGCTGGAGCCACGTACCACACACACACACACACACACACACACGCGCGCGCGCGCGAGAAAAAGGAATGAGAAAGCAAGGAGATGGAATATAGCTGGGTCAGCACTAGCACGAAAGAGAAGATGTTGGGACTGAAGCTGGAAAACATGGGCACAGTGGCAAGAACGGTGCAGAGGCAGGGACGGTGCAGAAGTGTGGGAAGAAGGAAAGGGAAAAAATAGTGGCAGGGAGGGGCCATGAGAGGAAGGGAAGGAGGGAGGGGTTAAGGAGGACAGAGTAGAAAGAGCGAACAGGATGTGCAAACCGTAGGCAGGAGGGGAAGGAAGGAGAAGCGACAGCCAAGGGACATGTGATGCTTCAGCTCATGCATTTACCAGCTGCTTGCCTTTGTCCCAACGTATCTCCCCTGCCGACGTCGCTTCCCCCTGAAGTGTTTGAACTTTGAAGTTGCTGCGAATGTGATCTCGCTTGCTTCCCTTTAGCCCGCAAGCTGCGCTAGCAGAGTCGTTACCTTTTTTTTTTTTTTTTTTTTTTTTTTGAAGGGCAACGGCGGCTTTGAGATATCATCATTGAACTGACCAGCCCCAGGTAATTCACAAATTAACAAATTTTTGTGTTCTGCTCATCTGACTGCATCTGGATTCGAACTTTCTGTACGTCAACAGTTCATGGGTATGCAAAGTTAACTACGAACCGAGCCACCTTCTTCACCCGAATACAACGTACGCCGTATCCGTATGTCATTATTGCTGAATTTAGTCGGAAAGATACCCCAAATGCACCTATAAATTTCTATAATCACCGTACGGCGTACGTTGTATTCGGGTGAAGAAGGTAGGGCACATTGGTTCGTTAGAATCGTTACCTTTCTTTGGCGACTTCGCTGGAGGTTGTACCGACCCTCCGCCAGGCGATCCATCGTCGAGTTCTTTCTTTTTTCGCTTTACTGGCGTCCTCCGTTTAGCTGTAGACTGATCATCATCATCATCATCATCATCATCATCATCGTCATCATCACTATTTTCTCTCTCGTTGACGTCTTCGGCATCATCATTGTCCGCCTCCTCTTCTGCATAGCTGCAATGCAACCAAAAAGGTGGTATCATTGCCCGCCTAAGTGAACGACAAAAAAAAAAAAAAACCCTTAAAAAAAGAAGGCAAAAAATTTAGACACAAGACTCACTTTTGAATCGTCGTCACACTGTACTAACCCCCCCTTCCCACCCCACCCCACCCCACCCCAAAAAAAGGGTTTTGTCTGGCAGTTAAACCACACACACACACACACAAAAAAAAAAAAAAAACACGCAAAATTCACGACTGAATCGGACTGATCCATCGTCCTTGAAGTGATGGTTTGCCGTGCCAGGAAGACGACGACTTTCGCAGTGCTTGTTGCTTTTATTGTTGTATTTATTGGACGATGGATCCGTCTTCCAGCAGGTGCTGCTCCCCCTCCCCACCTATAGAACAAACCTCATGTTGTGTTGAAAACAAAAAAAAGGACAAAAAAAAAAAGTATGTTTTGGAGATTGAGAGCAACCACTGCTGTAAACGTTCAGGGAACACTTCAGTCAATACAAGCCCAAAAAAAAAAAAAAAAAAAAAAAAAAAAAAGTTTTGCGGTCAGTCAGTTTTACCAACTTTTACGACTAGCTTCACTGTAGTCAGTTATGCATTCAGTTTCTCTGTCAGTTCAGTTATGTGCCCAGTTTTTTCCTTCCCCCTCTCCCTAATTCGGACCATTTCTCAATGAGGTTGTGTCGCCCTTGTGCAGGGGCCCCGAAGGGGACAGTTCTGAGATCGGTTTCACAAATTCACAGTCAATTTTCCGGTGCTTTTGCAGTCAATTTCCGGTCGGTTCTGGATTCAAGTTTTGCAGCCAGTTTTGCAGTGAGCTTCGCAATCAGTTGTGCAGTCAGTCTTGCGGTCCGTTCCGCAGTCAGTTTTGCAAAACTGACTGCAAAGCTGTCTCGCAATCAGTTTCGGGTTCCGCTTGGCAGTCAGTGCATTCAGTTCTGCATCCCGTTTTGAAGTTGCACCGTTGCAGTCAATTTTGCGGTACTTTAGCAGCTAAGCTACCAGCCGGGCCGCCCAGATCACCTTGTTTTCCCGGGCTGCCCGGCAGTGCAAGGGCCGGGGAAGGTCCCACCGTCCCAGCAAAAAAAAAAGAAAGAAAAAAAAAGGTCCCGGAAAAAAAAAAAAAAAATCACATCGAAAAATAAACTGTCAGATTTCACTATGTTATGCAGAAAAATTAACTGAACAACTTTTGCCTCAGGGTCACATCGAAATTCTTCATCAAATTATTAAAAAAAAAAAAAACTTTTTTTTTGGCCCGGCCGGGCAAGTGTGAGGAACGAACCCTCAAGGGGGCCCTAACAGACGACACATGTTCTGGGCTAAGGCCCCAGCAAGCCAAGTGCCCGCCCTAAGTGAAGGCGGGCCTGAATATTCGTCGAAGGCCAAAATTCGAAATTTCCATATGTGGGTATTCAGGCTCTCGCAGCACGCCAGTCGGTTGGGCAGACGCGTGAGCCTCACTAAGCTGCGTCGTACAGTTGCCCCAGGCCTTGACAGTTGCGCCTGGGCACATACACACAAAGCACGGCCAATACATTGGGAAGCAGGCCATCGGCCTTTGGAAAAGCAGTACTGCCGACGCACCTACCTGGGAGCCCCGCACAGATGCAGCAAACAGCCCAAGTCCGGAGACTCAGGCCGTGCCCAACTAAAAAGGGTCCAGGTCCTCAACTGTAAGTCTTGGGCCTGGGCGCAGGGTCTGAGACCCAACCGGAAGCTACTGGAAGCTTCCAGCCAGGCCACACGCAGCATCCAGGAGGCTGCCACTTCCATAAAAGAAGTGAGGCAGCGCAGGCCAGGCATTCTGGCCAGTGCAGGCAATGCGAAAGTGCTGCTGCGCTCCTGCTTGATGCTGCGCTGCTGCCAAGGGCGCTGACGGGGCGCGTAGAGGTGAAGTGGGGCGCTGCAGGGCAGCGGGGCGCAGGCAGCCATAGCCGGGCTGCTGGGCGCCAGGGGGGGATAGTGGGCGATCTAGTGGTCTTCAAGGAAGGAGGCGAGTGTGGGGTAATCAAGGTCCGATCGAGGGTGACGAGATACATACCTGGTGCATGAAGAGAGGTCGGCTATGGTGTTGACAGTCATGTACATTGGTCTTCGAGAGTTGAAGTGAGCCTGTTGCGTGAACCAGCTGTAGGTAGGATAGTCGGGTAGAGTAGGCTGGGTGCTGGGCGCCAGACAGAGAGGAGCGACTTTGGATACTGTGTTGGTGTGGCCTACGGGCTTGAACATTGGCTCGTTACTCCATTGTATTGCTCTATATGGATGGTTTCTCGGTGCATTTTGTACTCTCTACTTGGACACGACTACCTGGACATCTGTGTGATATCGCAACTTGGTTTTCTGTATATCGTTCACACTCGTATTCCTTGCACAAGTGGTCCCCGGCCACTCTGGTAGCCTAGTTTTGCAGTCAATTTTCGGTCTGTTCTTTGATTCAAGTTTAGCCGCCAGTTTTGCAGTGAGTTTCGCCAGCAGTTTTGCAGTGAGTTTCGCAATCAGTTTTGCAGTCAGTCTTGCAGTCAGTTCTGCAGTCAGTTAAAGTCGAACCGCAACTACTTTGATGCGTCGAAAAAAGTGCAAATTAATTAGTGCTCCATTTCCTACAGGACCAGGTGGTCAGTTCTGCAGTCAGTTTTGGCAGTCAGTTTCGCAGTCAGATTCGCCGTCCATTTGGCAGTCAGTTTCACATTCAGTTCTGCATTCCATTCCGCACTCAGTTCACTGAGGCAGAGATCAGCTGATGAACCCAAGATTATGATATTAAACATAGCTAAATAGAACTAATAGGTAAATTCCTTCGGGACATCCGTTAAAACTGGAACGATACAGAGAAGGGTAAAATAAACAAATGGCCCCTGCGCAAGGATGACTCACATAAATCGAGAAATGGTCCAAAAATTTCACTTCGATTCTATGCTTAAATAGGACTAACCGATACTATGCTTACTTATAGCCGGGCTCGTGTTTTCCGATTGCACTTCGATTCTAAAGCTCCCTGTCAAGACCTGGAAGATCAACTACCGAACTCGACACCTACCGGTAGCTTGTGTGCTGCTCAACTGCTAGGCATAAAAATGTACGCTCATCGTGACAAAGACAGCATCACCGCCCGCTCGGTGATGTTTTCTTCTTCACAATCAGCATACGTTTTTTATGCACTTATGTGTTTCACTTTAAACAAAGAAGAAAGAAAAAGAGGCGAAGAAACCCGTATAGCCTTCTCTGACGCCAAACAGGGAAGTTGGCTGTGAAGTTTTCGTACCTGATCCTGCGAGTCGCGCGCTGCGATTGGCGGCGAGGACCTGAAAACGCCTCCAGCATATCGCTCGCCATCCCCTGAATTTCACTATCATCGCTGTCATCTCTGCCGTCTTTTCTCCCTTTCGACTTCTCAGGGGAACTCAGAGCTTTGCTGGCGACTGGACTCGTCAATCGCGGCTTGATTGGCGCCGCCGCCCTTCCCGAAGAAGCCACAGCCTTGGTTTTAACTTCCTCGCCGGGCTTAACTTCGTCGCCCGGTCGACACCCTGCACCGCCTGCATAGCTGAATTCCGAGTGTACTTTCTCCTGCAGGGCAAAAGATACAGGAAGGAATCCTTCATTTCAGTCTAAAATAGCCCCCTTCGTCACCACGCGCTGCAGAAGGTCGCACATGTGAACAACTTTACTGCTAAAAAAAAACGATCGCGTGTTTCAAAACTTCAAATCCAGATTGACACAACACCCTGCACTGCCAGCATAGCTGAATTCACAGTGCAATTTTTTCTCCTACAAGGCACACACATTTTCCTTGGAAATGTACACACACAGTGCCACGCGTTTTAAATTTTAACTGTTATTAAC